TTTTTCGCCCCCCGTCTTGCTGCACCCCCTGGGGTGTGGTGCAGGGCGGGGGATGCCTGGTCGGCGGGAACCCGGCACGGAACCCTCCGGCGTTGTAGGCGGGTGTGGGAAGCGTTCCCCGTTCTCCTTTTATTTTATTTTGATCGGTCTCCTCGACGCTCTTTCTCGTTTGGTGCGGTAGCTGGTCTTTCTTTCTATCATTTTGTTTCTCTTCCGAGTGGTTTTTGTACCCTATTTTTTTCTGTTTCTTCGTGGGGTCGTGTATGCCGGGTTTTGAGACCACGGGCTCCCAACCTTTTTTTTTTTTAGAGCTAATGTGAGAAACAACAACAACAACAACAACGCAAGGCCGGCTGCGTTCTGCGATCCCAGTCCTCCCATCCATCTAGAAAGGATCAAAACACACAGAGTGTTAGTGTGTTTGGATACGGACGGTTTGTTAGATCTACCGGCAACAGCGGAGGGCAACCGGACAGGAGAGCGTATACCTGAAATGTTTACTATGTGTGGGGCCCCCTACCTCGAATTTCGTGGAGGGCCCACCTGTTCGTGGGTCTGCGAACATTGGTGTTGGCTACAGTGCTGGATGATTTTGTGTCACGCAAACTGGTAAGATTGCCGTTTGGTAGGGGGCACCGCGATGATTCACGGGCCCCCTCCTTGCTGTGGGGGCCGCTCTTCGAGCACTCCCTCTTTCGTCCGTGTGAAGCACCGTCGTCTACCTCTCGTGAAGTTAATACATCATCACCAAACAGTCTCACCCGATAAATAAGTGGCGTAGGCCGCAAACACTCTAGAGTGTTCTTTGCCCCTCGAGGGAAGCCACATTGGGATGAGCCCTGCTGGAGACGAAGAGCGCACTGCTGCGAGCGGAGAACAGATCAGCCCGCCGGTGCAGGAGGGCCGCGCTGCGAAGCTTACAAGTTTGCAACTGCAGATTTCGCAATTGGCGGCCCTGGTGGAGGAGTCGGTGAAGAAGAAGGAGCTGGCACGTCGTGGCGGATGCAGCCAGTAGGGGCGGCTGGGTTGCTGCCCCCGAAGGCCAACAAGAGCTCCTGCAGCCGCACGGCGGAGGCGGGGAATTTCTCCAGCAGCAAGCGAGAGATAGTGGGCAAGGACCACGGCAGCTGCTGGAAGGCGGCTGGGCCAGCAGATCGGGAGCGAACCCTGTGGGACCAGCCGGAGTGGGCCCGGGCATAGGACCGGACTACGGGGAAGCGACGGGGTTAAACCCCCCAGGTGAGATATCCGTGATTCGAGGAAATGGAAAATACCTCGACGGCTACAGCAGTAGCCACCAGACAGGAGTGACGGTCAATGCCCCGCTTCTAGACGGAAAAAGCCGTAGCCACGGATTTGATTCGTGGCGAAAATCGTTCATCCAAGCTGCGAAGACCATCGACTTGGATGGGCAGTTTATAGNACGGGGTTAAACCCCCCAGGTGAGATATCCGTGATTCGAGGAAATGGAAAATACCTCGACGGCTACAGCAGTAGCCACCAGACAGGAGTGACGGTCAATGCCCCGCTTCTAGACGGAAAAAGCCGTAGCCACGGATTTGGTTCGTGGCGAAAATCGTTCATCCAAGCTGCGAAGACCATCGACTTGGATGGGCAGTTTATAGGAGATGCAGAGAGCAGCATCCCCGTGGGCGACCCAAACTTGCCGACTTCCGAACTGCTCCGTATGGGGCACACGAGAGCGGAAGTCCAACGAGTTCAGGCGTTCCATTTAATCACTACAGCTTTGGTAAAAGAAGCTGACAACGCAATTATCAGTAACTGTACGTCAGCGAAAGAGGTCCTCACGGAATTGGAAAAGGTCTACGATCCGGGTCACGGGGTCAAAACAGGCCTTGATGTGGAAGATGTTCGACTTTGCAATCCTCACACACAGCCACAGCAACCCCATCGAGCACCCATTCTCACTCGAGCTGCTGTATGCCCGCCTTCACGAAAAAGGGCTCAATGCTGAACAACCCTTCGTTCTCGCCCACTTCGTTGGTTCCCTCCCACCCGAGTATCAACAAGAGAAGTTCCTGTTGGAGACAGCAACGGCGCTGGATAGGGCCGAGATCGTCAGGATCGTGAGCATTGTGCACGCGAGACTGCCGGAGGGGAGGAAGGCCTCGAAGGACCAGCGGAGAGCAGAGCACTCTCTCCTCGCGAGCGACGGCAGCGGTGGGGGGGGAGCGCCGGGCCGCGGCAACAGCGGCCGCCGCAAGCGTGGCAGCAGCGGCGGCGGCGGCGACGGCGGCAACCAGAAGGGGACAGGGGGTGGCGCGAAGGCTGGTGGCGGCGGCGGAGGCGACGATGACGATGCTGGTAGCATGCGCGGTCGCGGTTTCCGGTGCGGCAAGAAGGGCCACCAGGTGGCCGACTGCACCGAGAGCAAGCCCGTGCGATGTTAGACATGCAAGGGCTACGGGCACGACAAGAGCAAGTGCCCGACCGAGGGGGCGGTGCTCGTGGTGGAAGTGCTGGCGGGGGGGGCGTCTGGAACGCCACAGCACTGGACGTGGCAGAAGGGGCGCTGGTGGTCTGTGGCATTTCAGGCGAGTGTCACAAAGTCGTTGGTCGAGGGGGTGTAGAGCAGNGCGCTCGACGGCGAAGGGGCTTAGCAAGCCGATCCCCAACAAGACGTCGACCCGAGCAGCAAAGAAACTGCAGCGAGTTTNTACGAAGTGTGTGATCGACGTGTGCGCGCCGCCGCCGGAGAAACCTTTTTCCCCATCGTAGGGGATGGCGACGTGACGGTAAACCTTAGCTCGCGCGACGGGACAACCGACTTGTTGTTGAAACGGGTTGCGCATGTCCCCGACTAGGTTACAACCTAGTATCTCTCACTTCCCTCTTCGACGATGGGTTCGAAACCAAAACCCTCA